TTACAGGTGATCATGTATTGTGTTATATTATATTTCTGGAAAATTTAAGGGGTAATTATATAATAATTTTGGACGATTTCGGGCGGTCGGATACTTATGACCGCTACTGTAGGTTATTTAATTAGATTATTTAATCATAATTAGATTATTAACTTTAGATTATTTAGTTATAATTAGATTATTTAGTCATATTTAGATTATTGGTCATATTTAGATTATTTAGTTATATTTAGATTATTTTATTACCAAATAATCTAATCCAAGTCATTTATGACTAAATAATATAATTATATTATTTAGTCATAAATGGCTTATATTCTTTCAGAACTAACACTTATTAACAATATATAAAATAACCTTATATAGTAACTTTTATTATAATCACACTTTTTATTTTTAGTTCTAAGGGTATGACCATAAAGGGAAATGACTGTATATGCATTAATTTTCTATTTTTAATACAAATTGTGCATATAATTTTTGGTTTAAATTTTATACATTGTATTGAATAAAATATTTTTAATATAAAGTAGCATAATAAATTTGTTTGCAAAATTATGATAAAATATAATTAATTATAAATTGATTAGTATTAAAATAAATTGATACTATCAATATTTTAACTACTAATTATATTTTAAATTTCGCATTTTTATCTTTCAATTTATTAACTTATTCTTTTAACTTTTATTTACATATTTAGTTATTATAATTTAATTTACAATTTAGTATTATGTCATCTTAATAAATATTTTTTAGATTTCTTTAATACTGTATACATTTTAAAATAATTATTTTTACATAACTTTAATACTTAAGTATTTTGATTTTAGCTAGAGTTTTTTTTTATTATCCCTAATATCCTTATGAAATTTCTAAGAAAAAGTTCATGAGGTTGCTCTTAAGGATAATCCTAATATTATTTTTAGATTTTCTATTTTAATTTATACTACTTGTCCTTATATTCTTATGAGTCTCTATGAAATGTAAAAGTTCTAAATAAATTCAATTTTTCTATAGTATGTTATCTTTGAAAACTACTGTATATATGCTTATAAATAATTGATATATAGTTGATGTATAGTATAAAAAAATAAAATAAAAAAAAATAAAAAAGTTTATGATTTCATAGAACTCATAAAAGCATAGGAATAAGTATTAAAGACAATTTTTCAAAGTTTAAAATTATGGAAGGTTGAACAACAATAAGTGAGTTAAACAATACATAATTTTGGTCAAAATTATCCTTTAATTTCGGCTAAAATTTTTTATATTTGAAATGTCTGTGAACATCAAAAACAAGTTTCATTTTAACACCCTCGTAAATAAAACTAAGTATGTAATAATAAATTGCGTTCTTCCCGATTTTAAAATTCAGATCAAAGATATATATTTTTTATATCTCGATTTAGCATAAAAAATAACGTAGACATCCTGATTCAAACTTCTCAAAATTATGATAGGTAAAAAACCTTAAAATGAATAGGAAATCAGAGATGTGTTCAAAAAAGGTTTGCATCAGGAATATATATCGCTTAGTGATTACTAGGATAATTATTTGGATGATCTCCTAAATCACTATCCAATTTCTGAAGGGTCAAAATACTTTATTGATTATATCAAACATACGTTGGAAGCATTCAATAAGTATACCAATGATAATGAACAACCTTCTGTGAATATATATCAATTTTTATGAAGGCCGCAGTTGTTCACATTAGAAGATTTATAAATAATTCATTACGATTATCTGTTAAAGCTTATTAAAGTGGCCCTGTGGACTATTTAGCAAACCTCAACGATTTTATAGTGCTAGTTAACGAAGCCAAATTGGAAGATATCCCTAAGGGGGTAGCCCAAAATATCATGCAAGTGTATAGTGCATCAGAGGTAAAGTAATTTTTTGTATTTATTGCATTTAGGATGGACTAACATTCAATGCACATTCTCAGAAATTATTAGGCAAGCGTAAATGCGTGTAAATCTGAATCACCATTATTTGGAATTGTAACAATCGAAATTATTTGGCATTTCATTCGTTGGATTAGTTCTCCAGAAAAATCTAATGTTGAAATTTCTCGTGCGGATATGCGGAATGAAAAATTGTATTTTCTCTTATTGTTTGTATGTTTGAGAAACAAAAAGATGCATTAAAAAATAACTCAAAACGTGTACATATTGACCAAAGTAGTCAAAATAGTGATATTTTAGATTAGATTTATATAATCTTACATTCGAATTTTTTGAATGAGAAATTTTTTGAACCGTATTTTACATCAATTGTGCTAGCTTTATGCTATTAATAAAGGCTTAAGGTTGATCTGTTTATAATAAATTTTAAAGAAGTGATTCTTTTACCTGCAATATTTAGGGCTTATTTTTGTAATGTTCTAAATAAATTAAATTTGAAGTCGAAATTAGAAAACAAAAAAACAATGATGTCATAGCTATAATTATACTTTGACTTCTAAAAATTCGCGAGATTTCAAATTTGCTAATTTGCTGATATAATTGGTCAACGAATTGCTTTGGTAAGTTATAATCTAATTGTAATAAAGATAACAGTGAAGGATATTAAAGAAAATATTTGATAAAATAAATTAATCTGAATTAGCTACGATGAAATAATCGTGATAAAAAAAAAATATTCGTATATTTTAGTATTTTAAATTTGCTTTATTCTGATAACTTTTAGCTCATCAAGGATTCTTATATAGAAATTTATATTTTTGGTTGACTTTTTTAATTTCAATAATATTCCAACGAAGCATATATCTTCTGAAAAAAAATTTAGCGTAAAATATTCACGTCTTAACGTAATTTTCTTATAACAGACGTTATTTTATTTTGTTTTACAGACGATCGATGCGATAAAGATTATTTTGTTTATTATCAAGAATTACATGACTGAGTTTTAAATTCATAGTGATAAATATTTGTTTAAAGAATTTACATTTATTTTTAAAGAACAATTATTGTTTAAAAAATATTATTCATCCTTTCCATAAGTTTAGCCAATCATTGTATTCAGTTATTATTAATAAAGTATAAATTGAGATAGATTGTTCAAAAGATAGCACGATTAATGTTAAAAACTAAATGAGATAGGCGACAAAATAATCTCATCCAACAAGTTCACGTGACATTAAAATGCGAGTGTTAAAATTTTTTTGATTAATTGATTTTAACAAAATACGGTTTGTACTTCACACCATCATTCAGAATTAAATTATTTGGAAGAAAAGGTATATATACATGTATATAGCTTACCTCATTCAATTGCTTCAAATATATACAGTATAATCTATTGTCCAAGTATCATTCTATATTTGTTAAGAAAAAATTTAATAATATGGTGGGAAAAAAAAATATTACAAGAAATAGAAACAATTACATTATTATAATTCCACTGTGACCGACCTGCAGAAATGTTAATTCTGGGATTTTCTGTCGAGCGATCGATTTATGCATGCATAATATTCACAGATATTACTCAATGCATTTATCACCCGCGTTCTTAATCATGGATATCAAAGATAATTTAATATAGTATATTCATAATAAAAGTAATTGTATAAAAAGGTCAAGATTCGTTCCTTCAAGGAACTATAGAAACGATTAAGATAGTATTGATATTGAATGCGAACTGTTTAGACAACGTTTATATTGAATTCTTATTTTTGCTTAATGGATTGATGCCCTTTATTATATACTTTTACCTTAATCATAAATAAAGTCTATTATATTAAGTTTAACAATTAATAAAATATATTTAATCTACGGAATGCATCACAAGTTATCACGTGGTACATAAGGTGGCATGATAAGTATTAATACTTAAGATCAGCGAGCATATAAAAACTTATTTCAACTGAATATTCATTTTTTTTTTTCCAATATTATAGTGAAAGTCGTAAAATTATTTAAAATCAAATTAATGCAAGAAACAATAACGTACATAGACTTACAAAGACTTTAAACTGATATATATTTCATTGTAAATTGAGATTTTTGCTGAATTTGTTGCTACGAAGTTTCTAACGTGTTTAAATAACAAGGTAACTTTGAAAATGATAAAGCAAAGCTCATTCGATATGCATATATACGAAAATTTAGTACGAACCCGTTTATTAATTGTGAATTATTTTTTCATTGGAATTAATCATTCGTTTAGCCACATTATTAAATGCATAAAAGCTATAATACTTTACTAGTATTTTATTTTAATTATGTTAAAAGAATAATGTTGTGGTATCATTAATTATGACTAAGAAACATAAAAATACATATTAGGAGATTGGGAATCGGATTTATTTCATAATCGCAGTGTTTAATTCAAATATATGTTAGCAGTGTTACAAGTAATTTATAAAATAAATATTTTTTTTTTTTTATAATCAATCGTCACACAAAAAAAAACTGAAGATCCAATAAATTTTTTTGATTTTCGTTTATTATTGTATTTAAACAATTATTAATTAGCAATTAAATAATTATGATGTAAATATTATTCAATAAAATTAATTAATAGTATTACCTCTACACTTCGCAATTCAATTTTCTAAACGCTAATCAATAATTAATTAACATTACGAAAAATAATAATTGAAAAATATGAAATAAATGAAAAATTAAAAATAGCGAAAGCAAGGGAGAAAGAGAAAGAATTAAGGTGTATGTATGCAAAATATAGGAAAGGATTGTGAGATGTAAATTATGTGGGCTATCTCTCTTCTAAAATGAGTTTCAAATCCAAACATATATTTTAAACGATTTGCGATTCGACTAATCAGATTTAGCAAAGTCAATTTAAGAGTGAAAATCAGAGTTTCTCGGAGTGAAATATTAAATGTAACACCATTCTTGTACTTGCCATATTTATGATCATATATATAATTTAAAATAAATCCGGTTTTTATTTTGTATCTGGTTTTAAATTTTTTTGAACTGGATTTAAATCCGAAGGTCGATCTTTTATAATATGAAGTGATTAATATAATAAAAAGAAACGTCAGAGATCCGATATATCAATTTTGTGTACTGTTTCAAAGTGAATTATATTTAACAATAGTGTCCGAGATTATGAATAGTGAAATATTAGACGTTTTATATTTATTATAAAATTGCATGTATAAGATTAAAAATATTACCTTTACATCGTAAAAATTCAATAAATATTGATAAATATAAAATATAAAATTGATATTATTATTTTAATTTAAAAATATATATATAATTAATGATTAAAATATTAGACAAATAACAGTATAACAGATAATTTAAATTTTTTGTTTAGGATTGGTGAAAATATAAGTTTAGTACAATTAATACATTTAGTACATCATAACAATAAATATAATGTATCAAATTAATAAATAGTAAATAAACAATTTAGTTTATTTGATGTCATTATTAAATAAACATTTCATACATTTTATGAAATTTACAAAGGTTTTCATAATCATAATCATAATCAAAAAAAAAAAAAAAAAAAAAAAACGGGGAAAATTACCTGTCAAATATTTTGCGATTTAACCTATATATGAATGATCGTTCGGATAAATTCAAATATGCCGAATCATGTTCAAATTAAACTATTAGATTGTCTAATCTAAAAAAGTCGTTCTAACCATTATGCTGGCGCAGCATCCCCGTTGATAACCGGTTGTACTACAAATTTAATATAAATATTGATGACAATAAGTATAACAACAGAAGAATGACAGTCATTATAGTATTATAGTGTAACAAATTCAATAACGCCCAAATTACGTTAATTGACAAAAAAACCATTTGAACAACTATAAATCATGAACTTTGAAATCTTTTGGGTAATAAAAAGATATCACGAATGGTATAATAATTTATACCAAATAAAGATCATGCTTGTAAATATGCTATCTCCAGGTTGCATGTGTCCATAAAATTATTGCATTACCTATATTACCATTGCTCAGACATAAAAAAAAAAAAGTGTAAAATTGTTAGAATAAAAAAAAAATAAAAATTTAAAAAAAAAAAAAGTTGTCGACTTATTTATTAAAAATAGACAAAAAAAAAAAATCTTTACATTCCCAGTCTTTTTTTGATTTTTTTTTTTTTTTTTTTTTTTTTTTTTTCCTTCAAGGCTGAGCCTGTAAAACAAATAATCGTCGTATTCATATCCAGAGAATTTTTGTCAAATAAATAATATCGGCCTTCCTAAAAATAATAATAATAATAATAATAATACAATATTTATATAGATTCACATGTCTCTTTTTTTAGTTTTCTATTATTTGACTACCAACTAATTAGTCCTTCTTTGAACAAAAGTTTAACATTTCCTTTCACAAGTTATAAATAGTGAAAGGGCCAATTCGCTTTTGTTGGTGTCCTTCCCCATCGCTCTTTAAAAAAGGTATGGCAAGCTCACGAGAACATCGGGGAACAGCCCGCCAATACCAACAACGTGTTGAGCACGATGAATATGAAGAAGAGTATCCGAGAGAAAACTCCGATAGAGCTTACAATCGGAATGCATTATATCACGGCGAATATACGGAAGACGAAGGTGAATTTGAGGAAAATGAATATCAGGAGGGTAATTATGAAGAGACTGATTATGTAGAGTATACCGATCTTGACTCACCAACTTCACCTAGCAACGGTCACCCACTCCCTTCACCCCCTCCTTCACCTCCAACAGACAACGGTTATGAAGACGAAGATAATAGCAACGATGCCAAAATATCCTCCTCGAATATACCACCTCCACCTCCCTCTAGAGCCAAAAAACTTCCATCGATACCGAATAGGTCTCAAGTAATATACATAGATGAGAAACCTCCGTCTCAAATGCCATTTCGACCTTCAGCGCCTACTCCAACTCATCAAAAGCGTAAAAATAATTATTTCACTATTGGGAAGTCTTTAACTTCTCGACTAGGACCAAAATTTAAGTCGTTTAAAAAATCCCATGCAAAAGAGGATGAAACCAGGAATGTTGATTCTTCTCCTCTTCCCGAACCTCCACAACGTTTACCAATCACACTTCCTTCTCTGGCTCCATCTTCCCCAATATCTCATCAATTACCTGCCGAATATTTAGATTCAGAATTTGATCAAGAGACAGATAATGCTTCCGACGTTCATACAACTCCCGAACTTACAATGGATGATCTTTATCATCTCGTCCTTAATATGCAAAAGGGTTTTCAATTACAAGTTGATGAGATGAATACACAAATCAAAGATTTAAAACGGGAAATAAAAAAATTAAAAGGTGAAGAATCCGAAGAGGAAGAGTCAGAGGAAGAAGACGATGATTTAGATGATTTTATGCGAAGCCCTTCAAGAACTGCAACTAGTGTTAGAAGTGTTACTAAAGAGATGGAAAGATATGGAGGGGAAGGGAAATGGTTTCATAGCGAATATTCATAAAGGATCATAATAAACATATTAATGCAACATCACAAGAAATTCAGAATATTTAAGCGTTATTAACTTTAATGCACTTATTCTTAGTTTGTTGTAAATCTATTACTTTCAATTATATTACAAACGACCAAAAAAAAAAAAAAAAAAAATCCTTGCAAACTTAATTCATAAAAGATAAAGAACATTAGTTAAATTAATTAACTAATTAATTATTATTGATCGAGGGGTATCTAACATAAGAATTAAAATATTTTTCGAATTTACAATTAACATCCATATATTTGGTCCATCCATTATAAAGGTTTCAAACATAAAGAACATGTAAACAAGGTATCACGCCAAACCTTTGTCCAAAGGTACCTGGGATGTATCACTTTTTTTTTGAACATAAATTGTTCGAGTTATATTATATTAAAATACCAAGATGATGAAATCTGTTGATTGTAATTCCTACTGATAAGGATAAAATAATTAAATCTGTTTTAACATCTATTCATCATATTTTGATTTTCCATTATCAACTTTCTACTAGTCGATTCTTCGATAACGGTTTCATCCAAAGCTTTCAAAAAGTTCTTGAAAGTTGTAGTATTCTTAGAGTGAATGGAACGTGCATATGCTAAAAAAGGCATCTTCCGCAGAGTACGACCACTCATTCCCTGAACGAACGGATTAGTTTTAAAGAGAGAAATAAACAAACAAATAAATAAAAATTTATAAATAATGATTGCTTCTAAATATTAACAATTTACCAGACATTTTCCTGAAATTGTATAAAGTCTAAAATTTGAATCTTCGAAATCATTTGTAAGTTTCACAGTACTCCAATCAAGGAGATTTTCCTATATAAAATATTTTTTTCATTAAAATTTATTTGATAAATAGATGAACATCTTTAGTACTACCTTCATAATTATCCCAACTTTCATTAACTCTTGAATACAACTTGATAGAATCGCATAAATCGCTTGTCGAGATGGTAAGCCTATATATTGTTTAATATCAGCTCGATCAATGAAAGCGATATCTGATAAAGGAAATTCAAAGGTTACGCGAATATTTTTTAAAAAAAAGTACATTGAAGAAAGTTGAGATAACTAAACCTATCGCTTCTGTGATGTTAGATGTTGATAATATTAACACGTTATTTTTTTGTTTTAACTTGTCAATTTGCGTTAGTACCGCATTGACTACCTAATGAAGATGTCGATTTATGAGATGACCATTAAATTAAATATACAAGATATGAACTTAAATTCTTTTACCCTCACAGCATCAGATGGTTCTGCGCCTGTCAGCGCGGATTTTCTTACTGCAGTTAAACTTTCTACTTCGTCTTGAAAAAAAAAAAAAAGATCGATAAGAAAATGACCTAATCAATATTTGTATTCGATAACAAAGAGTCGCACCTATTAACACGCAAACAAAAGAACCTTCTTCTTCGATCAGTTCAGAAATCTGCTGAAATAATTTTTGAACCAACTTGCCGGATTCGGAGAACCATTTCGAAAACAAACTATGACTATTTATTTCAAAGAGCTTCACATGAGAATATCTAAAAAAATAAAGATATAAAGATAAATAAAATGATCCGCATAAAAAATGATCCCCCGACTATAAACCTCACCTATCAGCCAACCTTATAGATAATTTCTGCGCAAAAGCTCGGCAAAATGTTGTTTTCCCTGTTCCTGGCGGACCATGTAACAGGACAACTCTAAAAAATTGTAAACATCATCAATCAATTCTTATGATCTTTATACTATCTATTTTTATAATTCACCTGTTCCACGAAATGATATTAGTATTAACTTTACGATCCGAAAATAACATTGTTGTAAACACATATTCAAGCAATCTCGTTTTAATATTCTCATCAAATATTAAACTAGGTATGATAATTGATAGTAATAAGTTAATCAAGTACTTTGATCTTTGCGTTTTTATAAAATGTCAATACTAAACTTATCCCATAAACCATCAAGGGCGCGAGCAGGTAAGTCCCAATGGTGTGCAGTCAATAAATTCTCATCGTCTTGATATTCCTCAATCGCATCGTCTTCATTAAGTTGATATATATGAATATTCAATATCACGTTTTCTAAAGTTTGAAATTCAGACGCATTGCCTGACATGGAGATAACAAATAAATTTAAAGAAATCAGATACAAAGTTATTTACTGTATGTTACTTATGCTTCTTACCCATAACTTCAGAAACTCTTATGTATTCTACATTTTTTTTTAGTATAGGTACATCGTGAAAGTTCGTAATTTGAGGAATGCATAGTAAAGGTAGTTTGAATACGCGAAAAAGTTTCTCAACATGTTCGCGTATTACGTCATATCGTATTGTGCTCTGAGTTTTCATACAACATTCGACTATAAAGAAAATGTTTTAACAATAATCGATACCCAAAAAGATTCTTAAATGACGCTTTAAACAAAAACCAACCATGAATATTATTGATAACAGATAATGGATCCATAATGTTTTTTATTGGAAATAGCATGACGAATTTCTTAAATGATCATCGGTTACACAAATTATTTATCGTATATGCGTCATATTACCGTAAACGGTTGACTAAAGTACCCCCTATAGCAGTGATGTACATTTTTGATGTCCCAGAGATTTGTTGTCCCAGCTATATGTCCCAACCTGTCCCACACTAAGTCCCA